TTACACAAAATGGCTCATAATATTGTGCGAAATTTTGCACGAATATTAAGAAATATTCAGAATATTAAAATATCACGAGAAATGTTACAAAATATTGAAAAATGACAAGCACGATTTTCACATATGAACATTTCCACAAAGTGGAAGAAGATTCAACGAGGGAAGATCGACGCCCTAGGCTCGTTCCCAAGCCACGACAAGGTCGAATCTAGTGCCCTATGTTGTTGTATTCGCGCCACGCCACGCTGAAGAGAAGGAAGTGGAGGGGAAAGGAAGTTACGAGGGAGCGGGTGGTGGCGTGCGAAAAGACGGTGGCGATGAGACGGGTGGAATAAAGTTGATGGAAGATTGAAGGCGGGAAGGGGTGTCAGTTGGAAGGAAATGGAGGACGACCGACGAGCTGATAGAGGGTGAGGAAATCAAGGGGACGACGGGATAAAGACCGGGGACGAAGCTCGAGCGCCCGCATCTCCACGTATGCGAACGGTGGGCCGTGGTGGAGAGGATTGAGTCGGCGAAGAACTTCTTCTACGGCATCTGCTTCTCGATCCCTCCGTGGTGGTGACGCCATCTCCCATAAGTTCCTCTTATGGCGGCTCTGGATTGCGTGTCGGATTGCCTTGTGACAACCGCGTTGCTGGTTCGTTTGATTCCTCCACTGGCCGCTTTCCTTCTGCCCTCTCTCACCTCTTCTGCACTGCGGCTTCGTCCTCTTCCTTGCTCCGTTCGCGGGGGCTGCCCGATTCGTTTGACCCACTCCCTCCCGACTCACTCTCTTCTGACTCGTTGTAATCCGGATTGTCAGATTTCGTCCCCGAATTCTTCTTCTTCTTCTTCTTCTTCTTCTTCTTCTACTTCCTCCTCCTCCTCCTCCTCCTCCTCCTCCTCCTCCTCCTCCTCCTCTCTCTGTTCTCCTCTCTGAAATCCCACAAGGTGAGATCGGCCATGTCGATGACCAGGTAGTGGTTGGAGGAGGGGTGGTAGAAGTTATCCCCGTCGATCTCTGTACACATGGACCAAAGCAGATGCAACACCAATGTACAGGTGAGCGCGGCCCACGTGGGCCGCTCGTCGCAGCGCGAAAGAATGTCACAGCGCGAAAGAGCCATGTCCAAGAGTTGCGCCAGGAATATCAAGACTTCACTCATGATCGGTTCCAGATGGTCGTCCCTCACCTTTCTGAACAAGATCCCCAACAGTTCCCCCTCCGTATTCGTCCTCCACGCTTGGACTATCAGCAACTCCACCTCCTCGTCACGGACGTCATCTTCTTCGTCCTTGTTGGTCGGCTTGGCCCAATGGAACACCACCTCGAGAAGACAGAAACTGAGTGCGATGTACGCCTTCCACCACTCCCTCCACTTGCCGGCTTCAAGGATCGGCACATCCAGCTGCCTGACCTGAAAGGATAGAGGGGCGTCAGTAGAGGATTGCCAGAAGGTGGGGAGGTCGAAGGAAAGCCTGCAAGTCGAGATGCGATGTCGGTTCATTGGGGCGGCGCAAAGGGAAGGAGCTCCGGGACGAAGACCTTCGGCGCAGCAGGAGAAAGTCGGAGCTGGCTGAGATCGACGTCGTTACTGGAGACGAGCCCATCGCCAGGCTGAGCTAACTGTTGGATCTACGCAGCCGTGAGATCCTGCGCCCAGAGTCGCAATTGTCGGAGGACGCCTGCGTGGGATGCTTCATGCAGCATCGTAAGGTCACTGGTAAAGGTGATGATCACTGACACGTGGCTGGCGCCTGGTGGAGACAGCCGTAGAAAAGTCGACGCCTCGGCCAACACTCGCGCTCTATCGCTGACCCATACGAGCCGAAACTCTAGAATTGCCGCGTGAACAGTTGTTGTGCTGAAGAAAGCCACGAATCAAAGCAGATCGAGACTCAATCTCGGTCGCTGCACCTGCCCGATAGACGAGATATTCCCCCCAGGTCTTATTAGACGCTCACTAATGACCTACTCTGTGGAAAAGCTTATGGCGATGGGGGAGAAGGCGGAGACGAAGGTTGGGAAGAAGGAGAAGCAATGTATTCGAAATCGTCGTCTTCCTCCTCAGAAGCGGGGGACGACGTAGATGATGAGAGAGACGGAGAAGGGGGTAAGGGATGGAGATAGGACACGTGTCGGATGATCGGTCAAGCCGATTGGGCTCCCGAGACCTCTGGCGCGAGCCGCACAGTGTTCACTGCGCTAGGACCGAGTTCGACTACGCAGAATTGCGCTGAAGAATTGTGGCGCTAACTTGCCCTGGCGAGCACATTTCCTTACCTGCACTATGTCCCCTAATTTATATTCGGGTCGGGGTCCAGTGTTCTCCGGGCCTCATAGCTCCGGACCTAGCGTCCGTGGGTCATTTTGGTCATCCGCTGTCTTTTCCGGGCTAACCGAGGGAGGGCCTTTTCCATCAGTTCCAAGTGGCGCTGACCCTTGTCCTTGACCATCGCGGCGTCGCCCTCGTGGCTCGTCGCCCAAGGGTCGTCTTGTCGTTCAGGCTTGGCAGAGCTACGCAAGCCAAGCTATTGGTTCGTAACTGGAAAAGGGTCAGGCCGGTGGACTCATGGGGTGTCCCTCGATGAACGGCTAGGATGTGGTCCACTATATCGGGCCAAGGCCTCGTATCTCTAGCGACGATATTCCGTCAGAGGGCGGTCTTGATTACTCGGTTGGCGTTCTCTACGAGGCCGTTTGATTGGGACATATGCGGGGCGGTGTTCCGAATAGAGACACATGGATCTGGTGGCTGCACGAAGGGAACCTTATCACGGGTCCAGCATGGTCGTGGACTGATGATTGGACTTTGTATGGGCCCCCCTCAGCCCCCAGCGAGTCATTGAAAGAGGGCTGGGGATATGTGGCAATGGTTTGCCAAGGGATTCTTCTCCAAGAGATATGGAGAGTGAAGAACTCAGTGATCTTCAAGGATAAAAGAGTTACAGTTCAAGAGCAGCAGTGCCAACTTAAGAGAAACATAAGATTTATCATCCAAGCTGACTGGCAGGCGAGTTTCAAGAGCAGGACAAAAGGTTTTAATTGGTTTTGAAATACTTGGGCAAAAAGTAATCAAGTGGCAGCTATTACTATGGAAAGGAAACTGGTGATTTCGAGATGGCTCAGCCCGCATTAGGGAATTCCCACATTTGATTTAGGGCATTGGCCATATGTTGACTCAAGTGCCGAAATAGGTGCAGTTCCGCTGTGAGACGATTCGATCTCGAAATTCGTGGTTTTAGGAGAGTTGGTAGACCGTTGGATTTTGAGATCATGAGACTTTGAGCTTCATGGAGATTTTCCTTTTGGAAGAACTTATTGGAAGTAGGATTACAGGATGTTACAATGTTTCTTTTTTTTTTTTTTTTTTTTTTTTGAGGAAAGCCCTTGCGATATCCCTCTATCCTGACGGTGGTACGAGAACCGTTTGAATTGAGGGCTTATCTGTGGGGCTGCTTCATCTATTGGTGGGGAGCGGCACCTGCTGGAAACCGGGTCCAGCATCCCATAGATACATCGTGGAGCTCACAGATTGGAGTTTGTTGATTCCTAGGGCTGTTTCTATTGAACCCCCTTACCAGCATAGATGGTGGGGCTCGTTCGACACTCCTCGGGTGTGCAAAGTCCCCGAGGAATTGTTCGTTCCACCTATCCTCGGGGATGCAGTTGGCAAAAAAAAAGTGAAAACACTCCGAAGGAAATTCCTTGGGCTCCGAGGATTCCCCAGCCATTTCTTCCTTTTGCCCAACGAGGTCCCTTGGGCAAAAGGAATCCGCTTTTCCTGGAGAGGAGCGGGCACATGGGTAGAGAGACGTTACAACCGAGAAACTGGATCGTGGCGGCACGGTATTGTCTGAAGGCCTCAAACACATTTGATTTTTTTTCTTTTCTTTTTTCTTGTCTGACATCGTTCAAAGGAAATGTCCTCGGGCGATGTCCCCGAGGACAGGTGGAACGATGGCGGGAATTTCCTTGAAAACCCCCAAGGAAACTTCCTACTAGTGAGGGGCTAGCTGGTAGGATAATAATAGGGTACAGCAGCAGCAGAGATGGAGGCCTGATCTGAGCGCTGTTGCGGAATCCCCTCGATGCATGGAGCGTATTGTTTGTCGCTTCAATAGCTTGTGGGCGACCATTGACGGTGAGGGAGCACGGTCGAACGGTGGTGCGAGCGGGGCAGACTTCATCGACGTTGAAGACGACGATGGCGATGATGAAGAAGAAGACGAGGCTGTCGTCAAGGAAGTAGCCGCCAGCGGGAACAAAAAGCAAGCTTCCAAAGGTCGTGGGAAAGCGAAGGGGAAGGATAAGAAAGGTGATAGAAACGGCGAGGGTGGCGGGTGCGGTGCGCGGGGGAACTGGAATTTGAACGAGTCCCTGGTTCTTGTCTGGTGCAAAAGAGACCAAGATGACTACTTTGCTAATGGGGGAACCAACTTCGCTAGAATGAAAAGCAAGGACCCGAAGTGGATGGACATCGCGAATGCTCGTTTGCGATGTTGGACATGAGGAGGTCAATGATGTCGGCGAGGACATCTACTCCTCCTTCCCAGCAGTTGGGGATCGCGCGACCGACTTTCGTTGCATAGCCGACGGCCTCGTGCAGCATGTCATCCGCATATCCCAAAGCGACGCTTACGTGGAGAATTGTATCTCCGTTCGTGTCCACCTCGTAATGCCGCATTTCGTGTTGAGTGATTGCGCTCGCGAAATCAAACACCCTACCCTCCTCCTTTCCGCAATGATTCCTCATCTCGTAGAATGTTATCGTTCGACCGAGGACACGGCCTCTAAGTGCCACCTGGATGTCCATTGATGCACACGGCTGCACCCCGACGCAGCTGCGATGTCCGATCTTGGAATCCGAGAGGAGTTAGAGGACGACCCCGTGATTACCACCACCTACGATTCACTATCCGCATTGTGTTCCGAATTGAACAAGAGTGCGCAATTGACCATCCTCGCCTTGGAGGACCGCCTTGGCCACCTCCCGCCACTATGCCGCACGTATGACCTTCACACTCCGCCAACTAACAAGGATCCGCACACACGCACCGCCCACCTTTCGTGCACCTCCACCACGTCATCTCCCATAAGTGATCTTTCAAGGCGGCCTTGGACACACACTGCGCTCTGATTTAATATGTGTCCCCGGTAATGCCGAACACCCTCCGACATGCAGCACACAATTCCCGGACGTCTTCACGCCTGGAGGGTTGATTGGTGGGATGGACCCGCCTCTTCGCGCCGCAGGGGCCACCCCCACCCCCACCCCAACCGGCGATGTGCACTATGAAGTGACCCCCCGAGGTGGTATGCGTCTCCCTACCGCTCTCGAACGTCATCGAACCTCAACACGTCGGGGTACGACCACCCGCAGTGCATGCAAACAAACGGCCCACCAAACAAAATGGAAAAAAAAAAGAAAAAAACAACAAAATTGCACAACAAGCAATCCTTCGAAATGACCCTGCACAACCTGACGGTCGGCTACAAAAGGTAATGGTCCGCAACGGTGCGTATTCTGAACGACAACGACTCAAGCAAGGTAAAAAAAAAAAAAAAAAGACGATTGGAGGGGCGAAATCTAACCATGAAATTACACCCTACAAACTGCCCGTCCAAGCACACCCACGTGGGGTTTGGGGTGTGCTCTGCTGTCCCAACCTCGCAATCAATCCCTGACCAATGCCGATGCGATCTTAAGCAGAGCATCGCACAGCATCCGCTGCCCGATGTCCAAGACTTCGCACTGCCTCTCGTGCGTTCTTACCTCCCTGTCCATGGTGTCGCACTGCCTCTGGAGCACGTCACAATGCCGCTTGCTCGCGCGGTCCACAGACTCCGCGACTACTGTGGAGTGCGTTTTCATCACATCCGTCACCACCTCGAAAGCCAGCTGCCTGGCGTTCTTCCGCTTGCCCTGCATGTCGTTCGAAGACGACCTGCTGCCACACCCGTCACCCGCATCCGCTTCCTTGTTCTCGCTCGCCGAAGTGTTTGCTTCCCCCCCGCCCACGACCGCTTGGCTATGGTCTCCTTGTTGTGATTGTTGTCCTTGTCTGTTGCCTACGTCGACGAGATTCGGCGGGTGAATGGCCTGGTTGTTCCCCTGCATAATGTGGATCGCGTCATACAAAGTGCGGTCTAGATTGAACCTGTAGCCTTTCTCCTTCCGTGCTTTCGTGCTCATGAGGAAGTATGATTGCAGTCCTGAGTCCTTCTCCCTGTCCCACAATATCCTGTACCACCCGAATATGTTCTCCCACCTCTTCATGCATTGGTCCCCATCCCGCCGAACTCCTTCCTTCTCCATCCCGCATGACTGATCCCACGGATTTCCAGGTGCACCCCGCTCCTCCCATGCACGACCGCCCAGGTCTCCGTGGCGAGATCCGCAGCATCGAAGAGTAGATCGGGATGGGAGGCGATGGCGGCAAACCGTTGGCAGCTCGTGGAGGAGAGAGAGAGAGAGAGAGAGAGAGAGAGAGAGAGAGAGAGAGAGAGAGAGAGAGAGAGAGAGAGAGAGA